CAGGAGTCTTCCATGATGCTGATTCAGTTTTGCATCCATGATCCAGCATAGTATGATCTCTTTTCCTGGTGTTCTCACATTGTTACTGATGTGCAGCAGTTCACAGCTACATGTTGCTGACTGTCCTGGGTTCAGCAGTAGCAGTCATGTTTCTCCTTCTTGGTAGCTGGTGCAGTGCAGTGTTTTGACTTTCGGCCTGGGAACAGAACTGATAGCGATGTTTTGGTTTGGCCAAGGACTTTGTGAGCCTCATGCTCTGCCAGGGAGGAAGGGAAGCCAGGAGGAAGCAGAGACAGGACACCTGACCCAAACTGACCAAAGAGGTATTCCATACCACAGCACGTCATGCCCAGGATGTAACTGGGAGTTAGCCGGAAGGGCTGGGAGACTGCAGGGTTGGAGGAGGTATCGGTCGGTGCTTGGTCGGGCTGGGGGGGGCGAGTTATCAGTCGGCTGGTGGTGAGATGATGTATTCTCTTCCCTTGTTATTTCCTTTATCATTATTATCACTGGTGGTAGCAGTAGTGATTTGTGTTATACCTTAGTTACTAAACTGTTCTTATCTCAACCCGTGGGAGTTGCATTCTTTTCGATTCTCCTCTCTGTCCCTCCGAGAGCAGGGGGAGGGCAAGAAAGGTGGGGAAGTGAGCGAACGAATTACCTGACTGGGTTTAAACCACGACACTGACTGATAGGATCGCATTCTACTTCTCATTATGTATCATTTCAGAGTATTTTTAATAAGGAGTGAAGAACCACAGTTAACCAATTGTCTCTTGGCTGTGATAACTGGATGTACTGTCTGTACTTTCCAGTATTTTCTTAAAGAACGAATCAGCAAAATGCACCTCTTTCCACATCTTCTTTCAGGCTTCTCATTGTAGAGTAAATAATGAACCAGGTTCCTCTAAGCTTCTACAGACAGTTGTACAAAATATTAAATTACTTCTATGATTTTTTTTTTTTTTGCAAATGGAAATTCCTTCTAAAAATTAAATCATTTACACACCTCCACTAAAAAGAAAAAAAAAATTGTTGGGCCCTTACATGAAGAGACAGGGGTTAGCATTCTAGTGCCTCTAGAAACATACGGAGCCTGAGGGATTTTATGAGTGTTACAGGTAATATTCCTGCATGCATGCCCACTTGCTGTAACTGCAGACTGTTGCTGCAAATACACATACTTCGATTGTTGCTTATGAACTGACGAAAATGCTTTCTGGTGATGCATATATGGTGAATTTAAAAAAAAAAGCAGCAAAAATCACCTCTAGCCCCTGAGCTACTTCACTGTTTTTTGACAAAAGTCTTGCAAGCTTCAGTGGGGTTTTGCTTGGATTTGGGATTGTCCTCCTTGGCTTAATTCTCCTATACATCCCTGCCTTAGCACTGACAAACCTCTGGAGAGTAACAAGACAGCATTTCACATCATTAAAATGTTGTGTCTATACAGGTACTCAAAATGAATGCAAGTTTCAGACACAGTGACTGGGTGTCATGTCTGTGGCTCATATATGCTCATACTGACAATGTGTACAAGAAAAGTTTTCTATGAAGGTAAATAGAAATTTGAAATATAACTCTTTTATGCCTCTTCTGTATTGTAAAGACCAAGGAAGATGGCATTTTTACCTGTGTTCAGTACATCCATAACAGAGCACAACCAACCTATCATTGCAAGGCACTGTAAGATCGTGCAAGCTGAGCTTCTGTAAGGATCTGAGTCTGCCGACAAAGAGGAACAGATTAGATTGAGACGGCTGACACACAGACTGCCTCAGGCATTGACTTTTCTGCCTTCCTAGACATTGTTGTTCTCTGATGTAAAACAACATGGCTGGTGAATCAGCCAGCTAGTTAATAACAAGAACTAAAATAGATGTGTTACATACTGCTTATCACTCTGGAAACTAGACTGGCTACTGAATCATTGTGGTAATCTGTACTATTGGTCTGGAGTTTCCATGGCTTGTTTCATTCTGTTACAGCTGGTCATCTGCTTTAACTTCTTTGACATAATGTATGATCCCTGTTTAGACTACTTGAGTTTTGGTAAACTACAGATTAATAAGAAAGGAGGAACACACTCTGTGCTGGTTTTGGCTGGGATGGAGTTAATTTTCTTCCTAGTAGCTGGTGCAGTGCTGTGTTTTGGACTTAATCTGAGAACAATGCTGATAACACACTGATGTTTTACTTGTCGCTGAGTAGTGCTTACCCTGATCAAGGACTTTTCAGTCTCTCATGCTCTGCTGGTCTGAAGGGGTGCAAGAAGCCAGGAGGAAGCAGAGACAGGACACCTGACCCAAACTAGCCAAAGATGTATTCCATACCACAACACGTCATGCCCAGTATATAAACTGGGGGGAATTACCCAGAAGGCACCAATCCTGGCTCTGGTCAGGCTGTGTAACAGTCAGCGGGTACTAAGCAATTGTGTTCTGCATCACCTGTGTTTATTATGTTTTTTCCGTTCCCCTTTTAGTTTTATATTCTCTCCCCTTGTTACTTCCCTTATCATCATCATCATTAGTAGTGGAAGCAGCACATTGTAATTTAGTTATTAAATGGTTCTTATCTCAACCTGTGGAGTTTGCATTCTTTTGATTCTCCTCGCCATACAGCCCAGGGTGGGGGGCAGAGGATGGTTTGTGAGCAGCTGCATAGTACTGAGTTGCCAGCTGGGTTTAAATCATGACACACTTAGTACACGCTGTCAGATAAACACAGCTAATAAAGCTGAGCTTCACAAGGATGTTTTTCAGGAACTGACAGCAATTAACTGTCAGCTAATATCATTCTTGCACATTAGAGTGATTGTTGCTCAGCATATTTCTCATGGAACCACTTATGAATCCAAAAAATACAAATCTTCTACCAAACCTACATCCTCTCACTAGTATTTCTGTTGATAAGTGAGATACCTTTCACATAAATCATGTTTTTGGCCTGGTTTTACTGAAGCAGATGGCAGTTGCAATATTAACTAGATAATCTGGGTTTTTAATGACTTTACTAACAGTATTGACACAATATTTGCCTCATAAATGAGGAGCTTTTAAAAATATTTCCTCTGCTACTAAATACAGCTTTAAGAATGTCTTCTCCAGACTTCTCTCAAATGTGTACAAGTGTGTACATGAGTTTGTTTGTGCCATTAAGGCCTGGCTTCTTAGCTAAGCTAAAAAAAAAACCCAAACCAAAGTGTGAAAATATGGAAATTTTAATAAAAGGCAGATGAAGGGTGCAGTAAATGTGCTACTGCTGTCTTATCAGAGAGAGACTGAATTTCTTTTCCTACATACTTATTGAATTGTCAAACTAATTGGCAGCCAGACTTTCTGAAATAAAAGTGATCAAATTTTTATTCACTAAAGACAATACAGTGGCAATAAGAAGGAATTCACTGAAATTTTTGAAAAACTAGTATAAATCAGACACCTGATCAGATGTCACCAGAGCTGGTTGAAAGCTTCTGCAAAGTGCCTGTTTTCATTCCAAGTATTTTAATCTACCCTGTGAAAACAATTCCAGCAGTGCCAGACAATGTAGGGAAGGAAGTTTACTGAAAATCTGTAAGATGTCCTTGTTCACTGTGGTGCACAGTAAGGAAAAAATCAATTTTGCTTGACCTTGGCTGTGAAAAGATTAGTTGTCTGCATCCAACCTAGTGATCCCATTTCCTCGCTATAGTCAGTGTTGAGAAAGAAGCACTTCTCAAGGTACTTTAGCACACTTATCTTGGGGACCTATCTTAAATTTCCATTGGGGGTCAGCAAGGCTGTAATCTATAGCTCTTTTTTATTACATGAAACAAAACAATTGTAAAGGAAACAAAAATGTTCCTGCTACACTTTCTATTTCTATGTCTGTTTGAAATGTGTTCTGCCAGTCACTATTACAAAACTAGCCAAGGAAATAAAAAACACACAACAGGAATTTGGCATAGTAATTTGTAGTCCTAGCAAATTCTCCAGATACACGAGCTACCTGTGAAAGGAAATGATTATATATATTATTCTAAGTTTTGTAGACAACCACAACTCATTGCTACTCTTCAGTTTCCTGTAGTATCTACGGGAAATAAAACTGCAATACTACAGTATTCTTTAAAGGAATCACTCACCAAAGTATTATCCTCTGACTACTTCCTTCCACAAGACACTGTTGAGCTTAAAGACCAGTATCTTTAGCCACTTTAAGTCAAGACAGTTCTACTGTCTTGTTAAGTCAAGACAGTTCTACTGAGTCAAAGCCTTTGACTCACTGTGTAAAACTATTATTTTGTATAAGTTATGAGATGTAATGAAAGTCAGTCATAGATAGTCAGGCTTAAGATATTTGTAACAAACTGAATGTTAATGCATATCATGCTAACTCTTCAGCTCCAAGATAGCCACCCTTTCACATTTAAGGAATCAAACAGGAAAATCTGAGATGAGCAAGAATTCTGGATCTCTGGCTTCTTTCAAGGCAAGTTCCTTGGCTTCAGTGCTTCTGACTCTGAGGTTCACCTTATGACCATTTTTAATGTAAGCTAGAGGAAACAATCAAAAGTAGATTTAATTGAATTGCTCTTGACATTTTAAAAGGTATGGATGTATTGTCTACCTTGATTATTGTTCTTCCCATTAACACAGAAGTTTGAAGGAAAAAGAAATGTCAGAATTTATATAAGAACATATTCTTAAGAGACCCTAATCCAAATGGAATTCTAGTTGCAATTGAATTTAAACTTCCAGAGCATATCAAATACAGACAGAATCATGGAGTGAAAAGAAGAATCAGCAAAAAGAAATTTAATCAATATTTTCAGCTTTAAAACATCTTGCGCTGTTACCGTGGCCAGATTATTTCTATGCATTTCTCAGTGCACACACAATATTCTTAAGGAGCTATAATTCAGATGTGCTTTTTCCAAAGTGCACTGAATTTAGGCCTTGCTGTCCACTGTCTGGAAACATTGTTTTTCTGCCCTGCTGAGTCAGAACTATACAGACTTCAAAATGGAAAGCTCAGATATATTTCTCACTGCAGATTTTTATTTAAGCATGCCTTTTTGTTAACTAATAATAAAAAGAAGCTCTATGACATATCTCAAACTCAAATATTGTCGACTGTTGATCATTTTACTCCAGACAATCTAATTTTCACTCATAACTTGAAATCCTTGCAGTGGAGCTGCAGTACCAACATCTCAGATGGCTTGTGTTGTGGCAAATGTGGCTCTAGTCTTGATGTGGGAGATGTCACTGTGTGCTCTGATCAGCCCTCTGCTGGAGGGCTGTTTTCTTCATTTCCATGTTCAGGCTGTGCCTTCCGGAGTGACATCAGGATCTCATCAGGACACAGCAGACATGTCACACAAGGATAAGCCCATCCGATAGTTCCTGCCTGTGTAGGAAACAGGCAGGGGTGGGGGAGGGAAGGAAAGCTCTTCAAGATACTCTTAAGTGAATTTATGCTATTACTTTTATACCAGTTAGTTATTGCATTTATGCAATATTTATTTATGTTATTTATGCTATTTATGCTATTCCATGAGGCCTGGAAGGGCATGTACAACCATGTTGCTCAGGAATGGAAAACTTTAATCATAGACATAAGTCATTTCCTGTTTATAATTACAAACATACCAGATATTTAAACTCTGTGAAATTTCAAACAAAGTATTACATTTTATTCCTCCTCATTTAATCACATTTCCTCCATTCCAAGACAATATCATAATTTCTCATATTCTCTTCATAGAGACATGACCCCTAATCAGGATTCTATCACCAGACCTTCACTAGGAGCAGCTTAATAAAGCAGTCAAACATCATGCTTGCTTTTTTAATTTGAGAAAATCAACAAATAAAAACACCTGCTCCAGTGCACTGATTATTCTTTAGAGTGCTGGCAAAATTCTAGTCCAGTGATCTCATTACTTGTGGCTGGAAACGTGCACATACCCTTGTATTAATTCCAGTCTTATCTAAGTACTAGCTCAACAAATGAAGCAGACATGCATGCTTTTACGAGTGTAGAGAAAAATGGCATAATCAAGTATTGCACGCATAGTCTCTCATTTGTTCCAATTCTCTCCCCATTCTTTAGTTTCTATACTGCATTTTTTTTTTTAGCAATGTATGAGGACAACAAACATCAGGAGTAAGATCAGTCTGAGACTATCTGAGGTTCCAGCATGTGTGAAAGAAGAAATTGAGGTTGGCACTGCAGACTCCCTTATCAGCGTAGTCTGGAGAGGGACTTTTTACATGGGCATGTAACAATACAAGGAGAACTATTTTAAACTGGAAAAGGGTAGATTTAGCTTAGACATTAGGATGAAATTCTTCCCTGTAAGGGTGGTGAGGCCCTGGCACAGGTTGCCCAAAGAAACTGTGGCTGCCCAATCCCTGGCAGTGTTCAAGTTCAGGTTGGACAGGGCTTTGAGCAACCTGGTCTAGGGGAAGGTGTCCCTGCTCACGGAAGGCAGGTTCTAACCAGATAAGCTTCAAGATCTCTTTAGATGCTTAAAGTAGCCGCACTTCCTTTGCCAGCGGCAGATTTCAGAGCCTGTTTTCCCAGCATTTGCAGCTGTCCTACAAGCACTGAATCTTTCAAGCCCAGTTTTAAATGAGTAGCAGGCTCCAGGAATCTCCCGGTACCCAGCACGGGAACGAATCCTAAATGACGAGGAGCTCAGGGTCAGCTTGGCCACCGACCTAAACGCCCAGACCACGCCGCTCTCCTCTCCTTTTTCTCTCCCTCCCGCCTCTTCTCCGTTGCCCACACCACCCCACAGGCCGCACCGGGCGGGTCCGCCTCAAGAGCGTGGAGCTTGCGCTGTGACGGTCCCGGCCTCTCCCGCGCGGAGCACGCTGGGACTTGTTCGCTGCAGGGGCGGGGCCAGCGCCCTGAGCGCGCGATGCTTGAAAACCATAGGGGGCTGCCGCGCGCCACGGCTTGAGCGGAGCGGCGTGGTGCGGGTCCTCGGTTCTGCCGCAGCGAGGTACTGCCGGGTGCGCTCGGCGATCGCGCTCCCCTCAGCGCCGCTTTCCCCGCTCCCCTCAGCGCCGCTTTCCCCGCTCCCCTCAGCGCCGCTTTCCCCGCTCCCCTCAGCGCCGCTTTCCCCGCTCCCCTCAGCGCCGCTTTCCCCGCTCCCCTCAGCGCCGCTTTCCCCGCTCCCCTCAGCGCCGCTTTCCCCGCTCCCCTCAGCGCCGCTTTCCCCGCTCCCCTCAGCGCCGCTTTCCCCGCTCCCCTCAGCGCCGCTTTCCCCGCTCCCCTCAGCGCCGCTTTCCCCGCTCCCCTCAGCGCCGCTTTCCCCGCTCCCCTCAGCGCCGCTTTCCCCGCTCCCCTCAGCGCCGCTTTCCCCGCTCCCCTCAGCGCCGCTTTCCCCGCTCCCCTCAGCGCCGCTTTCCCCGCTCCCCTCAGCGCCGCTTTCCCCGCTTCTCGGGCAGTGGCGCCTTGGGGGGGGGGGCGAGCCGGGAGAGCTGCTTTAGGCCCTCCCGGGTTCGGGTACAGCGCCGGGAGGGCCCTCTGACCCCTGTGCTAGGCGGTGGGGTTATGCCAGCGCTTGTCTCCTCCCGTGCCCCCTCCCGACCCTGTGCCCGCTGCCTACCAGCCGCTTGCTGGTCCCGTTCCCCGCCGCGTTCGAGACTTTGCATCTCTTCGGTCGGCGGAGAGGCGCTTCAGCTGCGCTGGAGCTGTTCATATCTCGGGTCCAGTGCAGCGCCGTGCCCGCAATCCAGCAGGAGGCTCCTTGTCCTCACGCGTTGGCTTTTCCCGCCTGCAGCTCAGCCAGCATCATGGGGATTCAGGGCCTGCTCCAATTTATCAAGGAGGCCGCGGAACCTACCCATGTGAAGAAATACAAAGGGCAGACGGTAGCTGTGGACACGTACTGCTGGCTGCACAAAGGCGCTTATGCTTGTGCTGAGAAGCTGGTCCGAGGAGAGCCGACAGATGTGTGAGTCTTTGTTATGTTTCCTCTTGGCCCTCTTACGAGTTAAAGTTTTGTTAGCTTAACGTGTCTTGAGCTAAAAGCTAAGATAAATCGGTTTCACTTCTTCGTGTTGCTTCTCAATTGCCAGTCCCAGTTGTACTGCTTGGAAATGGGAATGTTTTCTGTAAGTATGGGGGGGGAAGCTCTAAAATATTTTCTGTTATAACCTCAGCGGTTAGGTGAGTTTGTTTGTTTTTCCAGCATGTCTTGTTCTCAATTATGGTGCAATTCATATGTTTCAACTTCAGTGTTATTTTCAGGAAAGTTGTTTGTATGAAGTGATAGGTTGTCAACACTGCTGTGGCAACAGTTACAATGATACTGAGGAATTCTGACAGATGTGGTGTGCTTTGAATAAATGGTGTTTTTGCTTAATATACTATATTTTTAGAATAGGTTTTTAGGATGTAACATGGCTTTTTTTACTTACACAGTTATATTTCTAAGGAAGGAAACAAAGAGAAACTAGTTGTATTTCAAGTTCAGCTTCGGAGCTTAGATCAGATTTGCATAAGTTTTTGCCCATTTCTGGAAAACTGAGTTGAGCTTTTGTTCTGGATTGACTATAATTTTAAAAGAAGGTTATGCTTTATATTTTCAGAAAAAAAAAAAAAGATACACTGATTAGTTTAGATAAAGCTTCACTTATGAAATGTTGTTTAAATGTTTAATTGGAGGCAAGAGGGAGTTGGTGGTTTGCAAATGGGTTCAAATCTGTAACTCCTACTTCTGTTGAAGAACTGTAGTGTTTCTTCCAACCCTGCTGCCCGCCTCTGAATGTAGCAGAGATACCTCAGAGTCGTTAAGAGTAGGATACACTTCCATTGAGAAATAAACTGATTGACAGGAGAAACATTAAAAGTCGTAGGAAACTTTGGAACAGTTGAATTTAACTACATCAATATTTTATTATCAAATCTTGTTTCCATGCACATATGATGGCTGATCTTGAACAGTTAGTCCTAAACATGCAGTTCTCTTTTCCTGGAAGAAAATATGCAATAGACTTGTGCTTAACAATAAAGCTCAACTTTTTTTTTCTTGCTTTTGTTATTGTTGATTCAGTTATGTAGCTTTTTGTATGAAACTTGTTGATATGCTCCTCTCATTTGGAATTATACCAATTTTGGTATTTGATGGATGCACCCTGCCTTCTAAGAAGGAAGTGGAAAAGGCCCGACGAGAGTAAGTACTAAACTGCATTGATTTGAAAGCAAAGCAGTATGTTTAACACTACAAGTCATTTTCAAAATTGAAAAGCCCTCAAACTTCGGATAGGTAGTAATCTCCCATAAGCTTTCCTGCAATGTAGTGTTATTTCATTTAATTTACATTTCAGACTCATACAAACCTCTTCTTGGAGGTTTTATTCCAAAAATAGAAATGCAGTTCATAAATGAAAGCACTTCTTACAGAGGAAGGAAGTAAACCTCTGAGCATTAGCTCCTGTAATGTATTAAAGGCTTTTAGCTTACCTTCCCTCATGATGTCTGGACAAAAATCGCCAAATAACACAACCTTCCTCATCTTTCTATACAAATAATCAAATAAACTTGTTTCATGTTTGGATTCAGGTCTCTATATAATGGGACTTCTCGCTGAAGCAGTGAGAATTTTTCACTAATTCTTTTTATTTATAAGTTCTCATGGTACATGTGCTTCCTTCAGCATGGGGCAAACAATCGCCAGTAGTTGAAATTAAATAAATGATGCCTTCTGTCCTCTAAACCAATAAGTATCTAATGTCAGATACTCCCAAATTCCATTAAATATATTTTATGGGATATGTAACCTGAGAGTGGGCACATCTCCTTTTACACTGTGGATTGTAGTTTCTAGAGTTTTCTTTGTTTTCCTGAGAAAACATTATAAGTTTCAACATGACAATCTAATTGTCTTTGTTGATACAATGACTTATTCTTGTGTTTTAGAATATTATACAGTAGAACAAATATTCCCCCCTTTCCTACCTGTTGCAGTCCTTCCTGCTACTTGTTCTGTTAAGAGAAAATAATCTGAGATTGGTGGGTATTTTTGTTTTATCTTTCAGGAAGCGTCAAGCCAGTCTTCTGAAGGGGAAAAAATTGTTGCAGGAAGGGAGACTGTCAGAAGCTAGAGAATGTTTTGGGCGCAGTGTAAATGTTACCCATGCTATGGCTCATGAAGTTATTAAAGTAAGTTGTCAATGCTGTTCGATACCAATGGATTTAAAAATAATCTATGCAGTAGGTAACATTTCTTTATTCTTTTTGTATGGCAACCTCTTCTATGTAGTCAAGAAAAACATCTCCCACTTCTTAGCCTCTAATCATCCTACATACGTTGAATTACATTAGGCACAGTTAACAAACTTCAAATTTATGATGCCCAATGATATAAATCACATACAATTCTAAATATATACATACATATATAGAATTGTTAGGGTTGGAAGGGACTTCTGGGGATTATCTAGTCCAACCGCCAAAGCCAGTTTGCAGTTTACCACACCAAACCCCATGATGTGTTCTCAAACTTTCATTTAAAAAATAAGTCTGAACGTAGAGGCACTTGACTTGATAAATAATTATGATGGTGTGTCAATTGAAATACATACTGCTATGAACTGACTTTGGTAACACCAACGGTTTTACCTTCGCTGCACAAAAACTAAACACAATTTTATTTCCCCCCAGCTTGTTCCTCAGAATAGACTACAGAAATAAAATTTGGCTGTTTAAAACCTTTCTAGTAGCTTTTTGCTATCCTTCCATTGCAGCCATAGGATCTTTACCAAAATAGTATTACGTTTGTTCTAATGCTGTTTTCCTTTGCCCAGAATGTAACTTCTGTAAGTTTGAAGCTGGCACCTGTGGTCAAAGGCAGTGAGGGTAGTGTTACAGGCCAGCCCTGTAACACTGTTACAACACTGTTACTACAAAAACAGGCTGGTTTTGTCAGTCTATATAGGTCTAAGCTGCTCAGAGCTTGGGGTTGAATGTGAGCTGCTGGACTCTTAACGCGAGGAGGATGGGTGTTTTATTAAAGAGATCATGGTTTCGGTTTTTAAGGTAGAGGTTCTTATGCTTTCAAATATCTTCAAGTAATTACTGAAGATTAATGCAAAGTACTTGTATGCTTCTTGTTTATGTACAGGCTGCACGAGCCCGGGGAGTTGACTGCATTGTTGCTCCTTACGAAGCTGATGCTCAGTTGGCTTATCTTAATAAGACTGGCATTGTTCAAGCTATAATTACCGAAGACTCTGATCTTTTAGCTTTTGGATGTAAAAAGGTATGGAAGAAAATACTAATAGCCTTTTACCTCTTCCTCATATCTTAAAGCAGAGTTTGAAGTTGCCAAATGTGTTTGACTTATGCTTTTAGAGAGTAAATGGGGGAAATGGATGGCATAGGAATAGCATTCAGCTTCTGTTTTTTCTACCAAGTGCAACAAACTAGCTTATATGGATGAAAATGATTGTTT